CATGGCCCTTAGGGAGTACTCTCTACATGCATGAATGGAGTAGTCGCGATTTTTGCAGGGAAAGTAAAATGAGGAAGAATTCTGCCCCACTGTAAAAGCTTGTGTTTTCAATTGCTACCAGATTTTTCGTTACTATACAGTTCTTGCACAAAATATTGGAACAAATACAGTTATTCACTTCCAAGTGCAAATGGCTCAAGTTCACTTTGAAACCAAATTTTAGTGTTCTGTATTTCTCGTGTTTCAAGTCAAATAAATTCTTTTTTTCGTTTTCAACATCTTTCATTCTGTAAATGAATCAGTAAAAATCTCGGGATCCCGGAGCTGTAATCCCGGGATTTCGGAAAAGGTTCCGGGATCCCGGAATACCGGGATTCAGGATCCCGGAATACCGGGATTCAGGATCCCGGGATTGAATGCCCTATTACAAACATATATAAATATGCATGTTATGTGTGTACACATGTATGAATATAACTCTAAAAAATAATTCATTTCATAATCTATGCTTATGTATGTAATAAATTTTATTTGTTGTTTTAAATGCTGCCCTAATATAATACTTTACATATATATATGCATATGTACATACAATTATTAACATACTTTCGTACATAATCTATTGACATACATTCCCACATTTTTATGCACAAAAATTCATGTGTTGTATAGTACACTCGGAGCGCTCGCTCGTCGCTCACTCGTCTTTCCTAGCAGAGTGAGTATGCAGACAGCTACTCGCCTCGCACTGCGAGCGAGGCAACACACGACAGCCTCGCTCGTTTAATAGGAGCGCGAGCAAACAAGCAGCGCTCGCTCGTTTGGCGAGCGAGCCAAACTTCTCGTGCCTCGCCTCATTGCTGCTACGAGTACGAGCTGCGAGCGCCTCGTTGTCTGCGAGGCATTGAGTAGGAGTTTGCTCCCTGCTCGCTCGAACTCCGAGTTTTTGCCCCCCCTGCCTGGTTCAATTACGGTCTGGATACTGTAGCCGCTTCAACAGCTACCTGTCCAGACTCGACCCCAATATCCCCAATGAGTGCCCGTCATGTGGAGACTCCATCCATCTCTTCACATGCCAGCTCAATCCTACTCAGCCCGCTTCTTGGGCCTAGTTAGTTGAGCTTGACGACAATGATTGAAGGATGAACCGAAATAGGCGGGCTTAGTAGTGCCGTTACTACAACAACAACTCAACTCCCCTATGACACCAACCATCTCCCACATGTCAGCTCAAACCCACTCAGCTAAGAAGCCTCTCCCTCTGGTCCACCCGTTGAAAAAGCTTGTTTCCTAGGTCTGCCGCTAGTTAAGCTAGTCGAGACAACTATTGATGGACGAACCGACCTAGGCGGAGCTTACTAGTGCCGCTACAACAACAAATACAACTTACATATATGGAATGCATGGTGGACTTGTTGCAGCCAACGTTGTTCGATACGCACGAAAACTAGAACTGGAGTCAATCAGTAAACAATATTCTTTTATATCTTGAGTAATAGTTTTATGCCACTCCAATCTGGAAAAGATGAAGAAGAAATGCACAAAAAAAGTGCAAACAATTGTTTGGCAGTTGCATTTTTTTTAACTTTTTACATACCTTCTAATAGGCGCTGAATCGAGCGCTGACAGTAATGCCAAATATGAATTGTAATTATTCATCTTTCGCAAATGCTTCATAATTTTTATGAATTTAATTACATACTTTTCGCGTTCTTTGGCATCACTTAAAGTAAGAATTTTCGAACGAGCCCAAAAGGACATATTATTAAAGTGTTCTGTAAACTTGTTTAAATTGGGCGACTTCTCTTCACTCTGCTCTTTGGCAAAGAGCAAGACTTCGGGTATTTCAATTTTCTGAAATAGATCAGCATCCAACAATGTCATTTGCTCGGCAATTTCTACTGATTTGAGATCGAGCAGACTGGGTTGATTGGTGACTGTGATATGCATATCGGATTTGGGAGGTGGTAAACGTTGTTCTCTGAACAATGTCACCTGAGATTGATTGTATTGTTAGATGCGAATACGCAAAGTGAATATAAGCACCTACCTTCTCAACAAATATGCTACGCAATGTTTTTGCCAAGTATAATTGTCCGGCGCATACCAATTGGTAATTGAATTCTACTATGAGCGATAGTAGTTGATCAGTAAGATCCATGGACCTAAAATGTATTTATTTAAAAAGGTGATTAATTATATCTATTATTTTAAATATTTTGGCGTTTCTTACGTTAGCCCATCCACTACTCGCATTAAAAGAGAAAACGTCTCCCTGGCGACCCTTTGCTTCTGGTCATTTTGGAAACAAAAGAATATCGTATACCGATGCGTTAGCTTTTCGATTACATCGATCGGCTGTATAAAGGTGCGGAACGTAGTGATGAATGCGTCGATGAAAGCTGTAAAAGCGTATAAAATATTTTTTTAATACTTGTATTTTAATCCCTTATAAAAATTCTCATAACTGTTACAATAATGCATATGTATGTACAGAACCAATATTTGTCTTTTAGATTAAGGGGTAACACCATACTAGGTCATTAAATATTGTTAAAACTTAAATTGAGGCTTCATAAGCACGGGTACTGAATAAAAGAAACGTCAAGAGAAAAAGTGGCACTTGGGATTCAATTGCGTATATTTCTCGATCGTTTTCTTTGTTTGGTTAAATATAGAGCCCTTGTCAAAAGAAGTAAAAAAAACTTTTTTTCCCTTGATGCTTCTCTTACGTACGTGACTTTAGAAATGCCCATATGCGTTTTCTAGAATCGGGGTTATTTCCGCTTTTTGTCGACATTTTGAATCTTCGAAAATTCAACATAAATGCATATTTTGAAAATTTCAGTATAGTGGTGTCACCCCCTAAGTAATTTTCCATTATTTATTATTTCTTTTTTTTGTTTAAAATACCAACTCACCATTATCGTTTTGTACGCGACTCGCATGCACGATCAATGCATCCACGTAGCCGCCTTTTACTTCGGGTCCGTCTTCGTCTTTTCTCTTCAGAACCAAATATTTGGTAACGTCGATTTCTTCCAGCATTTGCGGCAGCTCCTCTTGCGACAGCGTCTGCAGTTCATCACACTATTGCCCACAGGTAAAAAAAATATACATATATTAAAATATTTTTCCATTGTTATTAGAAACACTTCCGAACCTTATGATCACCATAGCTATTATGTTCTAACAATTGATCTTCTCCAGCGCTCTCAGCTCTACTACCGGATGTACCCTCATGTGTATCTGCGCGACGCAGGGGTGAATGCCTTCGACTCATATGGCTGCTACAATTTTCATTAGGCAGCTGATGGGAGTGGCGTAGCGACGCTTGCTCTTCCTCGGTAAGATCGCCAAGTTCTTCGCAAACGGTTGACATCATTTCACTGCCTTGTGTGGCGGACAACACGCGTGCTGGCCGACCATTCTCAGCATCTGCACCAGCGCTTAAATGCGTGGGTTTCGGACTAGGCGGTGGAGTTGTTATTATGGTGGGCGGTGTGACGCTCGACTTGCGTTGCTGTTTGTAGTTCTTTGGTGGAAGTGCGGGCGGTGTTTCCTGCTCCGTCGGTGGCGATAGATCCTTTGGTAGTGGGACAATGCTGGGGATTAAATTGAATTACAAATTAGGCACTTTTATCACAGCGAAGAGTACATTATTAAACAAATTTACTAACTTCATTGTTTGGCTGTGTGAGATGTTCCCCGTCAAATCGTACATATGCATTGTATGGCGCCCAAGTGGTCGATTAGGTCCCTGACAAAGCTCCATGTACGCCCAAACTACAGATAATGAAAAGAAACCCGTTAACTATTTTGAAATTATGTCATATAGAGGTCCATATTTATACAGTGAGAAATGGAGGCTATAACACTAGATGAACAATAAACACCCAGTAGGTTAAACAAGAAGTTATGAAGCGTCAGAAGGATAAGAAATGGATTGGGTGGGTATACATATGTACGTATTTTGAAGATGCACAGATGAAGGCATATACTACACATCGATGACATAAAACGAGGTCCTTTATTTAAGAAACATTACTTTGAAGTTAGAATTTCGAGAATCATATAAACGTTAAAATTGAAAGCTTGAGCTCGAATTTTTAAGTGGAGTTTTTAATTAAGCGATGAGATTTCAAAGCATGTGGTAATTTAATTAACGAGTAAGCGAATCAATCACATGCGATAGCTCATAAATAAAAACATCCATAAAGAATGCGCGCAATGAAAACAAATAGCGAACAAATAAACAGCTCGAACAGATAGCAAGGAAGTAAACAAACGTAATTTGAGTAAATTTTTAAACAAATTTGGGCTAATGTTGACACCACATAGTGCCGTTTACACAGTATTTTATACATAATATGTATTACAAATGTATGTAAATAAGTATGTTGGTTTTTCGAATATCAAATAAAACGAGCTTTTTATCCTTGAAACTACTTTTCGCAAAGTTTACTTATATGCCACATAAAGCTTTTATAAAGAAAGAAAGACATCCTTCGTTAACTGAAGAGTTATATATCTATTTATGTATATGATTTTTAAAGAGAAACTAAACCAGAGGCTTTAATTTTGTGTAGACATATATAGTTAGGGTTATCATAAAAGAAATTTGCTGTGGCTGAGTGGTTAGAGGTGCGTAGTCCCACTCCGCAGGACCTGGATTCGATCCCTGGTCAGAGCAGCGATGACCCCTCGGCAGCCAATTTCCGCCAAGAAACAGCTTCACATTAAATTCATTCAAGAGAAATACCACAAAATATTATTATATTATCTGATAAAAAAGAGTAGCAAAGGTTTTCTGATTTATGATTTTGATTTTTAAAAATATGCAGGGTTTGAAAAACTGTCAGCACAGCAGCAACAGCACTACTATTTTTGCTTTTGCTTCGCTTTGAAATTTTTGATTTTCATTCGAACTGATTTGCTTTCGCTGTGACTTTGAAAATTGTATTTTGCTTTTTTGTCGGCAGTTTATTGAAAACAATTTAGTAGATAAATTGAATTAACTGCTTTTGATTTGCTGTGATAGCACTTTTCTTGTGGTGTGATTTGCTTGATTGTCCTGTGCACATGAAGCTTTGCAGCATGGTGTGTTATCGCTGACTCGCCAGGAGTGAGTACACACAAAATTTGCAATATCAATTCCTTTGCCTTGACCTTTCGCTAGCGATTATCTGGTGTGAAATTGGCGATTACCAATCGCTAGCGAATTGCCTAACAATCGGTAATGCATCGTCGTAGATAGCTTATGGTCGTCTCTTGTCACCAGTAGAACTAAAGGGTAGTGCATTTGTGCATGCATACATATTTCTGCCAATTTGATGTTTCACGGTCAAGTGATAGTCGAATTGCTGTTGCTTTGCTGCCGCTGCGCTGTCGTTGTTCTTTCACAAATTGTTTTTTAACTGTCTGGTTGCTTTCGAAATTTTACATCAAAACGACAGCCAAAGCATTTGCTCTTTTCCGAATTGCTGTTGCTTTGCTTTCGACATCATACATGCCGAAGTCAAAGCACAGCAAAAGTAAATCAAATGAAAAAATTACAGCATTTTCAAACCCTGAAAATATGTCTACCATATCACAAATCTGGCAAAATGTCAAGAAAATTTAATTAAGATTCCTTCCGCTGTGGCATAGATTTTTGCATTTTAGGCTTAGTGTACATATCGACCCCTACTTGCGATTTTATCGTAAGTGACAAAAGGTAAATTTTACAGGAAAACAGTGAAAAAATTTATTTGGATTTAAAAGGACAACAAACATTATTGAACGCTAGCTTTCTAATAGGACTATTTATTTATTGCATACCTTATTTTCTAAAGGTAAAATGGGGATTACGATAATTTTCCTGAACATGCTGAGAGGAAGGTTATCGAAGAATTGGCGCTTGCGATAGGTTTTATGTTGTATAATCTGGACATTTATAAACGTAGGAGTGCGGGTACTTTAGGGATTGCACATAGGGGTATTTGATCGATCTAGGCGGTCATAAGTCTTTTTTTAAACTTATCGTACGAACAAAAAAAAATACTACCTGCCACAGTTGAATAGTTGCGGAACAATAGGCAATCCCTGCCCGAACTTATGACGCCGCTTTGACGGAGTATCTCAGTCGGAACTTGTCAGTTTGTTATAGTGCACGTTTTATTTTACGACATTCATTGTGAAACAGTTGCGTTCAAAAGTGATTATTATTATTGTGGTCATTATATAATTAAAAATTGTTATGAAGTCTGAAGCCACAGGTAAATCTACATTTATTTTAAATAGTTTCGATTTAGCAAAATTTAATCTAAGTAATAATATCAGTAATCGGAAATATTGTATTTTTTTAGTCATTAATTTTTCATTACTTTGTAAACCGTAAGCTTTTAGTTATACTTCCACGCATTTCCACGTTACATTACTAGTTGCGTTCTATAGAATGGAGCTTTTATAGTATACTACACAAAAATTAGCTCCCGATAGCTACCGACGAGCTTTTTATGACGAATAATAAAAAAAAAAATTCGTTTCCATACATATTTTGTCATTTTTAAGTATTTCCTTTGCTTTAGAGTCACCAACTGGTTCTTGCTATAGAATAGTAACTCGAAAATATTTATTTGATAAGATCGACAAAAGTCTATGAATTTTGAGAACAAAATAAAGTTTCTTCAAAATGATATATTATCATCTGACACCTTCTCCGATGAACAAATAAGAGATATAAAGAACAAATTTTCACAACTAAAAGCACAGTTTATACAAAGGTGCATAAAAGTCCGTGGAAAAGAAGAAGTTTTTTTGAAAAGTAACGTAACATGGCTACAAGGAACATTTTCAATTCCCAAATGTATGCAACAGCCGCAATCTGGTCGTGCTGAACAGGTTACTCCTAAGCTCTGATCCACTTATTAGTAGTTTCAGGCCAAAGCCTAAAAAAGCAACCAAACCCTTTTCAAAGGAAGCAATCGATATGTTGCTTCCAGCTGAACCAACTAAGGATGGCACGAAGTCTGGAGAGTCTTCAGAAGAGGAAGAAGGGTCCGATGAAGAATCTTGGCACTCATCATCATCCTAAAATAGTTTTTTATACAAATTTTGTTTTAGAATTTAATTACACATTTATTATCCATAGCATTACAAGATAAAATTGGTTATTTCCAACATTTTCTTTGTAACTTATATCTCAAGAAAGTCCATACGCATTTTAACAATAAAAACAAATTTTTGAGCAACATTATAAAAAAAAATAATTTGTCTGTTATTCCCTTAGTTAAAGTTGAATTTCATTTTTAAACAGGTGGTAACTCTGCCACATGTTGTTTACAAATTAAGCCTTTAAAACCCTTTCAATTGATACCCATATTGTAGTAATTCAGTTAACTTAACTATATTTAAGTCGTCGTATCGCCGAGACGAACACGTATGTAGGTATGCGTGTTTCTACAATCGGACCACGGCAACATAGAGTCTATCGGTGTCAACCTTTAACCAACTTTATTTTCGTTGCTTTGGAGGAATAATTGTACGTCCTCCACCTATATTTATTTTATTTTAAACATTTACAATTTTAAACAACGTAACACGTCTTTTCTAAACATTTTGAGTTAAAATTTTCATAAAAATATTTTTGGCCGCCTAAATCGGCCAAATACCCCTATGTGGATTGTTTGAAAAAAAAACTGAATTTTAAGTAAATTAAATATAAACACTTAAACTTTCCCCGTAGATGTAGTGTTAAAGCTCATTCAATTCTCTAATAAACTAAACAGATCACATTGACGCTACAACTATTTTCAATTTTTTGAGGGTTTTTTAAAATAATGAGAAAAAAGTAAAATTCAATCCTTGACCAGAATAAGTTCAGTGCCAAAATTTTCTTATTAAGAAGATTTTTAACAGAATTCGGCAGAGCTTAACGCAGAATAAAATAAAATTATGCACAAATAAAAAGAAAAACGCAAAAGGCTTTGACTTTTAGTATTCGCTTCCTCGGAATAATCGCTTTAATAGTATTGAATGTATGAACAGTTAGCTTGGAGTGAAAAAAATTTTATTTTATACCAAAAAGAGTTACCAGCTTAACATGATTTTGTTTAAGACAATGTCAAAACTCAGCACTCCCACTCATTGTTTACAAAACAAAATATCAAATTAAATGAACAAAACTTATTGTATAAATTGAAATTCAAAATGTCAATTCCATTAAGTCACACAAATATTTATGACGATACTTGTCCAAAGCTTTCGTGAATATGTCCGCAACTTGTTCATCGGTGTCACGTACTCTAACTTGAATTGACCATCCTGGAATTTCTCTCTGATGAAATGGTATTGAACGTCAATGTGCTTGGTCCTCTTATGGAAAACTGGATTCTTATTCAACCGGATTGCGCTCTGATTGTCCATGTAAAACGTTGTAAACAAATTCGATTCACACAGTAAACCAGTAAGCAAACCCTTCAACCACACCAGTTCTTTAATTGCTTGCCACGTATTTTGATTCGGTCGATGATGTCGAGATCGATTATTGCCTGACTAATGCCCAACTGATAACACCTGAACCAATGTGAAAAACATAACCACTCGTCGAACGCCTCGTTTCACTGTCTCAAGCATAGTCAGCATCGCTATAACCAATCAGATTTAGTTGATCATCACTTTTGTAAAGGATACCCAAGTCCGTTGTTCCTTTTATGTATTTTAAAATGCGCTTCACAGCGTTGACATGTGCTGAGCTTGGTCGCTCTACATATCGGCTGACAACCCCAACCGCATAGCTTATATCT